CTCTGCATCTTCTCCCTCTGCACCGTACAGCCTCCAATGCTGGTAGTTCAGAGAATACAAATTGGCTGAATAATTATATATGTAACAAAGCATGTAGTGAGAAAATAAATTATAAAGCAATTGGTGGTAGGATAGTTTAAATAGGAGTCAGTCTCTCCTTTTAAGGCATTCTGCTCTCACACTCTCTCTCTCTCTCTATATATATATATTTAAAAAAGCAAGCCCCCTGTTGTTGAAAGGCTCGTCCCCTGACCTCACTGCGCTCTGTCACATACCACCCTGGCACTGACATGAGCACATTCTGGGGCTGTCTCTGCAGCATCGCTCGAGTGTGTGAATCAGCTGTTCTGGGAACTTCCAACTGTGTCAGTTATGAATACTGCCAGTGAAGTGTCTACACCGCCTCAGTGTATTTATTCTGTTTTTTCCAGCTTTATTTGTTATGGAAAAAGTAACTGCAGCCAACTTTATACCCAAAGACAAGATCAAGAAGCTGTGTTTGAATAGTAATTGTAACATTATCAGGGGTGAGTACAGTTTAGTACTATAACAGTTCACTATAAAGCAACAAAACTTAAATATTTTAACACATATTTAGAATTTTTCTGAGGGTGTGACTCTAATGGTGGCATGTAAGAGCTCTGCCCACAGCACAGCATTTCTTTTTAGAAGCGTAGGTGGAGTGGTGGTGATGTGTATCAGGACACATCAATAAGAATCTTTGTCTCCAGAGTCTGCAAAAGTTAAAAACCCCAGTGTTCCCCCCGAGTGGGGCTGGGTGAGGGGCAGCCAAACGCTGAAGAACTTCCACTTCCCATGAAATAACCCGAGAAACAGCAAATTAAGATGAAAGGAAGCAGAATGGCTTCAGGTTCTCAGGAGCCTGTTCCCTGGTGTTCATCAGGAGGTGGTGGTGCAATCCTTTCCCCCCCATAGAAAAACATTAGTTTTGAGTGGATCCCTTTTCTTTGTCCTTGAGGTGGCCTCCAGGGGTGATAAAGTGAGAGTCACCCGATCCACCTTGGGTGGAACTGGAAATGGTTCTTAGCAGAGCCAGCTGTTTCTGAAAGGCAAAAGCTTGTACACCCAGAGGTCAAAGAAACAGTCACTGCTTAAATAGCTGAGGAGTGAACGCAGCAGAATCTTAGTCTGTAACTCTGTATTTCCCTGAAAAAAATGATTAAATACCAACTTTTGTGGTATTTAATATTAATTTTTAAAATATTTAATAATTGCTGTGCTATAAATGACTGCTGTAACTCACTGTTGTCCATCATCACCTTTCTGTAAAAGTTTTATTTTGTTCTCAACTGGATTTAGAATAGCATGCACTTCAGTTACCGACTCTTTTCAGATCAATAATTATTTATTTAGGTTACAATCAGGCTCTATAAACTAATGCTGGTTCAGGCCAACCTTACAGCATCATACAAAGCAATCAGCTGGGGAATCTTATGCATTATTACAACAACAACAAAACCCAACAGCACAGAAAGCTTAAATGAGAATGGGGGTAGAAATGTAAAACAGGAACTGGCAATTCCCTTCAAACAATTATGAACTTTTTTTTTTCCAGTCAGACTTTACTGGTATAAAAGTACAAAAACATTTTTATTAATTAAAAACTCCCAAAGTTTCACTATGGACATGTTTAATCACAAACTCAAACACATTTATCATTTTGGTTGTAAGAATTCTGGTTGTAAGAATCAGTTTATCAGTTAGATAACACTGCTTTGCAGTGCTCACAAGAAAGGACATTAATTCCTGTGCATTTATATTGAACTTTGTCTGGAAAAGAAAATAAAAATCATTGTACTGCACTGTTCCAACACGAGCCAGGCTGCACCTCACTCACTGAGGTGAGACACAGGGTGTTCACTAGGCTGGAGAGGTGTTTTTGGGGATAATTGGCAAGAGAAGAAACTGCTTGATAACAACTCTCCCTGTACACCATTAAATACCCAAACTGAACTAAAATGTTGACCTATGAAGCAAACAGTGGTACAGCCACGTGTTTAATGCTGCGGGCTTGGAGCTGTGTCTTGGGTTGACTTGAGAGGAAACATGTTCACAGATGACAACTGTGTCCCTAACTAACTGCGGCAGCCACTGTAAAAAACTGAACCACAGTCAGCACTCAGCCTAATTCCCCACGTGTCTTTTGAGCCCAGACATCATTAGAAAAAGGCACACGGTTTTAGACAGGCTGTCACAAAAGTAGATGCATTCATTTCCATCACGTTTTGCTGGCTTTTGGGATGGTGAAGTGATGAAATGAGCGTGCACACAGATACACACACACTCCCCTGTGTCCCACCCTGGCAGGAAGCACCCGTTTCCCACTGGAGGCCTGAGATCCAAAGTTCATCTTTGAACACAGTTTTTTCTCACCTAGTTTTCTTTTTTCTTTCTTTCTTTTTTTTTTAAACAAGGCAGCAAAATGACCTATTTGCAGTAAGAACATAGAGAAAATATCCTTCACTTTCCCTGCAGCAGCGAAACCTAAATCAGCATTTTGTAGGCACACTTGCATAAACCCACCATGATGTATTATTTACATTGAGATTATCTGCTTGTGCACATTGTTAAGTTTAAATAGATGCCAGAAATTTTATCTAGATGTGCACCTGCCCAGCCCAACGAGCAGTCCCAAACTGGTATTTGCTGGGGAGATTGGTTTACACTCATTTTGTCTCTCCTTTTAAGTACAGTCAAGCAGATGTAGAACTTTGCGTTGATGTGGAATGCATTTTTCACATAATGCCTGTGTGGAGATAAGGAATGGTTAAAATAAATAGCAATTAAGACAACAGCAGCATCATTCATGTGATCTGTTCAGAATTAGAGCTCTGTCCTACATCCAGCACTGGCCTCACTGCCAAAAAAATACAGACACACGTATATCCTAAGGCAGTGCAGATCTACAGCCGCTCTCCCTTGTGAACTGCAGTGATTGAAGATGTTTTAAGGAAATGCTGTAGTGTTTTATCTGTAGGAAAAGCTGAAAATTGCTAAAAGATCATTTAGCTATCACAACAATATTTTTAAACAATAAAAAAGCAAAGGGCTTTATGGTGTTGGTCACACTTGGGAAGGGATAGAGAGAAACCAGAAAAAGTAAATGAAAAAAGGAAATTAAAAAGCTTTTTTTTTTTTGACAGAAGGTGCAAACACAATAGTCCCTGACTAGAAAATACTATCTAATAGTAGAGGTATGAGCAGCCTCTGAGCTAACTTGGAATTGAAGCCTTGTAGTTGTGGCCAGCAGGAGTTGAGCTGAAGCTAACAAGCCAGTGTAAGACTGAAACTGGCTGTTGTACCATAGAATGGTCACTCTGTGTTCTGTAGGACCCAGAAATGGGGCCAAGCTGAGAAACTTCTCCGTCCCCCTGTTACTCTGGGTGGCTGGTCTGGAAGGAGTAAGGAGTGGAAAGAAGCTCTGGCATAAGCAGCCAGTAAGTATTAGGGTAACGTTTGCTTGTGGACAAGCAAGGTTTTAAAGCTTCATTGAGAAGCAAAACACACATGTCTGAGCTGACCCGGGCGCAAACTCAGTTACACCGTGTGTGAAACCTGCAGATCTACTTCTCCGTGTTCCTTGAGTACAAGAATTAGAATAATTTTCCACAGGAGAGAGGTTCTCACACCCTACAGAGAATGGATATAATCTACAGCCATTCTCATCTTTACAGACTTCATGAAGATACGAGCAACCAGTTTTCTTACGCACAGGTAACAGATGATGACAGACAAGGTCCATCACTCGCTGGGCTTTTCCTTACAAAGCTGGAACACAGCCAGGTAGTCAAAGGAAGAATTAAAAACCCATCAAACAAGCCTCGAGGTGTCTGTTAGCGCATCGCTTTCTGCTGTGGGAATGCTGAGAAGGCTGATGCAGTGGATTGAACTAAATATTCACAGAATGAAAGGAATCATAGAATCCCAGAGTGGTTTGGGTTGGAAGGGACCTCAAAGCTCATCCAGTTCCAACCCCCCTGCCAGCAGCAGGGACACCTTCCACTAGATGGAGTTTACAACTAGTTTTGCAAGAACCCGTGTAAACGTGCATGTCCAGTTACACCTCTAGATGCTTACATCCAAAATTGTGACAACTGAAATCGAAGAGTGCCCAGGGTCTCCATCCTGTCCCCTCCCTGTACTGCTCCTGCCTGCATGTTCTGTTCCTGGACATTCAAAACCAAACAGGAATCAAAACCCACTCATCCTGCTACTGCTGAGCAGCCGCTGCTCAAACCCAGCTGAGACCAGTCCCTCAAAACAGAATCACAGAGTCATTAAGGTTGGGAAAGATCTCTGAGATCATCCAGTCCATCACCACCATCAACTCATCACCACCATGGCCACTAACCCATGTCCCCGACTGCTGCATCTACACGTTTCTTGAACACCTCCAGGGATGGGGACTCCACCACTGCCCTGGGCAACCCCTTCCAATGCCTGACCACTCTTTTGGAGCAGAACCTCCCTGAACCTTCTAGTGCAACTTGAGCCTGTTTCCTCTTGTCCTGTCACTTGTTCCTTGGTTGAACAGCAGCTCTGCAGGAGAGCAAAGCCTGGGCCCTGGCAGCAAAGCAGCTCTGCCATGGAGAGCACAGCAGGGCTGCAGCAGGCAGCCTCCTCGGGGCGTTCCAGGGCATCACTCGTGGCATTTAAGAAGGTACCATCTGAAAACACACGTTTTCTTGCTTTTGTTACACCTCTTACAGCTGAATTGCCATTCTTGAAAAAAACAGCTGGTTTGAAACAGACAGGGTTGATGAGGAGAAAGTGGGACAGAATTTCTACAAACTCAATGTCACTTTGCTTAACAAACCAGTAACAAGAAATACTCTTTTCCCATCAAGCTGTTGCGTCTTGAGTGCAGGCCCAGGCACGAGATCACCCTGCAGATGAGCTACAATGACATCCCTCGGTCCTTCTGATCACACTACCTGGACGTGGCAGCTGGGGAAGCCACACGCGTGGGGCTGCTGACCTCAGTCAAGGAGCGACGCCAGGAACGCGGAGCTACTGGTTGTCTGAACGTACTCTGTGGAGAGGGAAAATCAGCTTTGGTAACAGAACCATGGTGTTATTGCAGAATTTATGAAAACCCCCACACAAGTAGGAGGTAAATAAGTTGCTGCAGTGGTTACTTCATACAGTTACTGTGTCTCCACAGTAATTTAGGAGATTGTCTTAATTACTTGTAATATGTGAGCACATGTGCCACACCCTTACCAATGAGGACAAAGCAGAACAGAACGTGTTCCGAGGATTAGAAGTTGGTCCTTCTTTTTTTGCTGTTAATAACAGAAGAACAAATCAAAATCTGTAAGGACTGTATCAGCAGAATCCCACCAAGGATGAGAGAAAGAACCATCCCCCGAGTCCTCTGAGGGGATGGATGGTGACCACCTCACTGGAGGAGGGCAGGGCGAGGGTGAAGGCTGAGCAGATGGCTGGAAGAAGTAGAGGAAAAGCGTGCAGGGGTGGAAAGGAACTCGGGGAATGAGAACAGAAGGGGAAAGGGTCTGGGAGCAGGTGCATCCGAGTGCCAAGAGTGGCCTTCTGCAGCAGATGATCAGCACCCTGAGTGTCTGCTGATGGTTCATGCTGCACTTTGATTCCACCACCACAAAAGAGTGAAGAGAGAATTCAGAATCATTCGCTTCAGATTAAACATACTGAGAACAACAAAGAGATATTTACAGTGGCTTGTAGCTAAAAAGACTCTACTGTGAGGAAAGGGGCTGCATATAAACCCAGATGGAGGGAGAGAAGCATCAAAGCCACCCAAGCCATGGGTGGTGGTGGGGAAGATGCTCCTCGGTTCTCCTCGTGTGGCATGCTGTGACTCCTGAGGTGTCACACACTTCCTGGACATGACGTGACGCAGAGACCTGCCCGTGGATCTGACGTGAGCTGCCAGTGAGGTTACCTGGGAGCTGACCCAGACAGAGCCAGGAATTCTGCCCTAAGCTGGGTCTCGTGAGGTTACTCCATACAACAGGCATCCAATTCAACTGTCTCTGCCTCAGGTACAACTTTTCAGTATTCTACCTAAGAAACACCATTTGGTTACACAAATTATCACCAAAAAACCCCCACTAACTATTGCTGAAAATGGGAAAGTGTCCAGTCCTTTATAATCAGTAACAGAAAAAGATTTAATGACAAGTCAGTGTATTTGCACTAACTGCAGCTTCCCAGTTCAGTCTTTCTGAAGCCTTTCATCACCGATCGCAGCATTCTGACTAGGCAGGACCTAAAGAACCCACACGTGCCGAAGCAACCATGCCAAGATCTGCATTGCACTTTGAGAAGCTGTCTTAAAAAAAAAATGTAAGCTGCCCAGATTCATAGAAAACATCATTAATTCAACTTTCTTTCCAACCAGATACCATGATAGCACCTTTTGAGAAAAGCCTTATTTATAATAATACTTATACAGATGACATTAAGATTCAGATAGTCAAGTAATCAAATAATATGATTTACTACTTGGGTGCTCCCAAAACTTATAATATTTGTTGTAGCAGTTCTAACTTTTTTTTGGTGTGTGTGTAATGATGAAGATAATGAGTTGTTCTTAAAAACACCCAACAATCCCATACCTCAAAGGTGCCTCTAAGAAAGCTGGGGGAGAACTGTTCCCAAGGGCAGGTAGCAATAGGACGAGGGGTGATGGTTTTAAACTAGAAAAGGGTCCATTTAGGTTGGATGTGAGGAAAAAGTTCTTCAATATGAGGGTGGTGGATCATTGGAACAGGTTGCCCAGAGAGATAGTGGAGGCCCCATCCCTGGAGATATTCAAGGTCAGGTTTGATGGGGCTCTGAGCAACCTGCTCTAGTGAAGATGTCCCTGCTCATTGCAGGGGGTTGGACTAGATGACCTTTGAGGGTCCCTTCCCACCCAATACTTTGCTCTTTTCTCATCAGCTCCATGTTTTAGGGTTGCGTAGGGTAAGGCAGCAACTGGAGAGTCCCCAGAAACCTCACCCCTGCACAGGTGGGTTGGTAGAAGCTTTGCAGCCCTTTGCCATGGTGGCTCCTGTCCCCGGTCCACAAAAGCATTAAGAGGGCAGAATCTTCCCAAGTTTCTTTTCCCTTCCTACTTCCACCACCATTCTTTCCCAAGTTTGACTGCTCTAAAACATTTACAGATCTGAAAAGGAGAGAGAAAAAAAATGTTCACCTGTCAGGTGATATAAAACCAATCTTCTACTAAATGTGCCAGAATAATTTTTCTCCACCTCAACCACAGTTAAAACCTTCAGTCTATTCATTACTGTCTTTTTATAGTATTTTTATTTAATAAAACCTATTAAGACTACCATACAAATCTCTTTACTTATGCTTTTATCTTTTAACTGATCAATTTTTATATTGCTGACATCCCTTCTTCACCATTTGCTCATTTAAAAATTCATAGTATATGAGCTATGTCTCTGGAGAAAACGTCTATAAAATTTGTTACAGCTGGCAAATGTGTATGAGTCAGTGATAGCACATGACTAAATGCTTCACAGAAAATAAAATTTGTTTCTGTAGTAAGCAGAACTGTTTAAATGTTATTTATTTTTATGTTTCAAAGAAAATATATTGTGAAGTGCTGCATTGATTTAATACGCAACAATGTCTGTGTACACGCTGTACAAGGAAAATTTATGAAACCTTTGCACAACTCCTTTAATTGAATTTTCCAAATCTCTCACCACACACAAATAATCAATATCTTCTGCAGAGAAAACCAGTCAGAATTATTACAGTCTTTCTTTTCAATTTTGTTGTCATCAGCACATACAGAGCACCTGGATATTTGTAATGTCTGGATAGCAAGTTATTTACACCTCTTAAACATATAATTGCTACTAAGTGAGTCCAAACTAATGTTTCTTTTCTCTTTTTTTTTATTTAAAATAATTATATTCATGGGAGAAAGCAGTATTTATTCTCATGTAGGAGTTGCTACATGTCGCTGTTGAAAGAACTACGGTTCTTTTTAATTTTTCATTAAGCTTAATACTCCAAAGTCTAGATCCACTGGAATTAAAAATTAACAGCTATTGCGTTTGTAAAAAGCTACATAGGGAAACAGAGTATAAACACAGGTGTGAAATTAATGAATAAACGTGCCTGACACCTCAATAGAAAAGGCAGGTTGACAGTTCTATATGTATATACGTCTGAGGCCTATAGTCATATCTCTCATGTGCATTTCTCTATCTGCCACAGAAGTTAATAGATTAATATTTCATCTACATAGCTGAGGATGTTAAATCATTGGAGAGGTCCGTGACTTGCCCCCTTCCTTCCACCCAAAAAGCTTATCACGCCGGTGTGACCTCAGACCCAGACACAGCTCAAATCTCAGGTTGTATTTTAAAATAGGCACTCTTCAGGTGCAGGTACAACCCAACAGACCCAGAACCAGCTGGGAAAGAGGAGGTCAAACAGAAACCCACCCTCCAGCTCCTTTAGTAGAGAAGATGACTGAGTTGTTCTAGGAAAACCACCAGCATTGCAGATTTGGGGTGCTGGGCTAAGTGGGTTTTGTTACCTCTTTTAGACTGTAAAGGACTTTGCATGGTTACAAACTAAAAAAAAACCAAAAAAACCCCACTTGCATAGGATGAGAGAAAATATACAGTCAAATTTAGCCTGAGCAACAGCTTTTAACCCCCACAAAATATACAAATCAGAATACGACACGCTCCTCCTCAAGGTGCACTGTGGGGCGATCTCCCAGTGAGCGCTGATTGTAAATGCAGGAGGGCAGAACCATTTCCCTGTGTCTCTGTATGGGGATGTTCAAAATACCTGATGAGTAACCAAAACAAGGGAGTTACACCAAGCCCTTGTGTGCCCACACACCCTGACGTGTTCAGCCCTGAAGCAGCCTTCGTTTGGTTTTGCTTAGTGCAGCCCCATTTACAAGCGTTCACACCGAGATATAACTTAAAAACGAAACAGATTAATTTTTCCCCATGTCTGCCTGTAGAAAAGTCCTTACGAGCAGAAATACAGACAGCTCTGCCACGTGGAAGAGCAGATGAACAAGGCCAGATTCCCACCAGCATCACATAAACAAAGTTATGATTTCTTGAAGCTGTCTCAGCACTGACACAGAACACAACACGCAGAGGTACGCTCGTTTCCATCGGCTGGTTCCAGCTCCGAGGAATCACTGACCAGCTGGGAATGTGTGCAGTGATCGGCACAATCTCTCCTTAATCTGCTGTTCACCTGCACCTTAAGGGCCCTGGTCGTGCCAGTCACAGCACGAGTCTCTGCTCTTCTAGAGGAAAGGAAATCCCACAAAGTGCTGCCCGACTGCAGCCCCTTCGCGCCACCTTTGGCCACGAGAAGACTCTTGGCCTAAGGGTTCTCGGTATGTAACAGAGCCCTGGGACAGGCTGCCCAGGGAGGGTGTGGAGTCTCCTTCTCTGGAGACATTCAAAACCCGCCTGGACACCTTCCTGTGTGATCTCATTTAGGTTCCTGCTCTGGCAGGGGGATTGGACTGGATGATCTTTCGAGGTCCCTTCCAATCCCTGACATTCTGTGATTCTACGTGCTCCACACCACAGCCGCGTTACAGATCCAGTCTGTGTAAGCCTGGGCATACAGGCTTGCTGGTGCCAGGCTGACTGAACTTCAATGCAACTGAATATCTGGCTTTAGAGTGTATTGTCAGACCTTCAGAAAATATTAATTCTTAATTCAATTTCTGTCTTAGTTTTACAGCCTGAGTAGGCCAAGAGGGCAACCCATATCTTGGTTGGATGTAGGACTTACTTACGTACTGATGACCATCATCTCTCTTCCAAGCGCTATGTAGGGACATTAACTCAGAGCAGGTATTTCTGATGTGTGGGGAAACACCAAACCTGGCCTCTACAGTAAAGAACTGAAGTGAGCATACTGTTTGCAAATACAAGCTCTAAGTCTCCACCTAATAACAAACTACTTGAAAAAAAAAAGTCCTTCAGCATCATCTTTGTTGCTTTTAGGGATGATGCGCACCATAAAAACGTGTCTGGAGAGATCTTGTTAGACTTTTGCTGGGAAGAAGCCTAGGATTTAACTGAAAGGATCCTGGCAGAACTAAGGAACTGTTCTTTCTGTCAGCATTAGAAGCTTTTTCTGGATTTAACTGAAAGGATCTTGGTAGAACCTAAGGAACTGTTCTTTGTGTCAGCATTAGAAGCTTTTTCCAAACAGATTAAAGACATGGAAGAACCAAACCTCAGAAAAGCCTCGATCACAAATGCCCAGATGTAGAAGTTGCATGAAAAAGAGGGTGTGGTTCATCCTTACAGTCAGCTCAGGTACCGGTTCTCAAGGGAGAGGCCCAGAGGTTTGTTAGATGAAAGGCTGTTCCCAATACCTCAGTCCAAGCCCCGCATCCATCTCATCGCTTCCCTGACAAGTACTTGCTGTAAGCAAAGGCAATCATTGTTCCATTTACTCTCAAGGAATGGAAACTCTGGAAAAAAACCTCAGTTTCTGAATAAATTTACTTATGAATTCATTCAGTTCACTTAATACATTTCTGCTGAGCCAGTTCACGAGACTTACTTTTCCTCCCCTGCAAGTGAATACAAAGTTGGGCTGAGAAAAAAACCCCCTCTGTTTTTAGGTTAGAAAAATCCACAGATACATTCCTGAAAATACTACATTAAATGTAGTATTTAATGGGCCACACTACATTAAATGCCACCAAAACATTTGTACTCTGATGTCTTCCCCTTTTCCCCAGAAGATCCCAAAGGAGGAGGAGGAGGAGGAGGAGGAAGGGAAGGTGGGAGATAGACACCCAATTATGTCTAGAGGCCAACAAACATATTCTGCTTTACTGGAGAATGAGGTAGAAATATATGGTAAACTTGATTTACTCCCAGCAACCCACCAGCAGTCCAGACCCAAGCTATTTAGTTGCTTGTACACAAAGACCCAATACAAAGTCCAGACTGAAACTGAGATGAATTGGGACAAACTGTGGAATGCTGTATTCTTACCATTTTATCTGTTTGGAGAGAGAACTGTGCTTACGAAGACATCTATATTTTGCAGCGTTTCTGAAATGGATTTCATGTTTTGACATATATAGTCTTCAAAAAATTGGATCGGCAAGTGGGAACTCAGTATTACTTGGTCCCTAATCTCTCCAGTTTTGCTTTCATTAGTAATTTCAAGTGGCTTTAAATGAACATCTATCTAATTAACCCTGATCTATTCTCTTGGAATGCCACCACTGCTGTTGTAAAGAGTGCAAACTTCAGTCACTTGTATTAAAACCAGTAGGAAAGTTAGGAATATTTAGAAGTACACTTACTAGAGGTGCTCATATTTGCCCTTGGGCTTGGCAGGATGAACACCACCACAGAAAAGAAAGTAATTTTTGTTTCATTACAAGATACAGTCTGAAAATAGTTTTCCTTAACACTGCAAGTATTTGATCTTCTGTAACACTCCTTGTTGTTTCTCACTTGGTCTGCAGACAGAGTCATGGACGTGATTTATGTCAATGTTTTTCTTTTTGGGAAGCAAAGTATTAGTATAATTTGTAACAACCAGCTTAACACTCTAAACAGGAAAGCTACTTATCTTCACTATTAGATCTTCATTTAAAATATGCGTATCACAACCTACACATTTATTCTCAACAGGCATAAAACGTGTTTTGGACTGCAACATACCGACTAGATTTCATCTCTTGGCAGCTGCTTTACAGTTTGCTTACATTCTATTCAAAAACATTTTGTTTACTGTAAATGCTAGTCATGGACAAACAATGATGCCATTTTTTATGCTGGTCACACAAAAATGATATACTGAGTTCGACATAATGCTGCCCATTGAGCAAGGAATGTTTTGTATTAAGTTGTTTTAAGTAGAGGTTGTTTATGCAAAGTAAATAAATTTCATGCCTCACCATGTGATGATAATGTGACATTCCATCTGCATCAAGCCACAGAACAGTCACACGTTTTAAGTCTTGAGCATAACTAATTAAAAATAATTATGAAAAACCACATCCAAAACTAAAAGGCAACGTAAACCATCTCTGAATGCTTTCCTTTTATCACATACTTCTTTGCCTCTCCTACTAGTGCATTTTCAAGACTGTAAAACTGAATTTATTCTTTATTAAAGCCAAATTGACACTTCATCAAAATTGGCCAACTTTAACTCATAATTCTATTTTCCATTCTACTTTCACAAAGTATCTCATTTCTCATCTAACAAGACTGGGTATATGTTTAGCGTTAGGGGCTAGTTTCTAGAGCAAAGATGGAACTATAAATGTATATCCTGGTGACCATTAAAGAGCAGTGCACAAAGGAAGCAATGACTGTTTAAATCTGCAATGGCCCATAGTGTTCACCATTATCAGTGCCAGGCGGGGGCTGTGATCGTTTGAACAGAAGGACACAGGGAGCTGTAAATCAGAAATAGCAGATGGCACAAATGAGCCAAATTCCTTAAAATGCGATGTCACTCTTCTTCATTTTGTGGTAATCTGCTGGAAGCCCAGGAAACTTCAGTTTGACCAATTTTCTTTACTTTAAGGGAATTCCTCACAGCAGAAAGAAGAGCAGATATAACCAAAATCAAAGGGGTTGCTTGTGATAGGAAGCAGTCCTGCTGAGTGGGACAGCCAGCAGACAGAGTACTAGAGATGCCATCACTGATTTTGATTCTGGTTTTGCTCTGTTTTAAGATGGAATGTGTGAAGATAACAGAAATATCAGAGTATCAGTGGTGAATGTTTGTTGATTTTACTGGGTGTAAGAGAAAAAAAAATTAAGTCTTGTGTGTATCCCCCCACCACTTTCCCAGCTAGACAAGGAACTGAAGTGGTTATGTGGGCCACACTACATTAAATGACACCAACTTCAAATATTTTCAGAGCACTAGTTATGAAGAAACCTAATAGTTTGGATTTCACAGTCCCCTGGAGCGTGCTAAATACCTCACAATACATATAAGGTGAGAAAGGTTTTGCTGCAAAGACTGTACATTACTTGGCTCACACACTGCAAATGCAGGGGGAGGGAGGAGAGTGAGGAAGAAGGATAATTTGTATACATAAAAGGTATGTAAACTCTCTAGGACCTGACTGCACTTATTTCTAGACCATGCCTCAAGTGCAAGACCATTAATGATCTCTTCTCCTTGCAAAGGTTCATGGAGAAATACCCAATACAATGAAAACAGCAGAAAAGATGAAATTTACATTTTAGTGCAAATGTTTTCAGAAGAAACACATTTGATTATTATAGTTTTCACATATTAAAGGTTACCCCAACTTATTTCAAATTGGAAGAACTAAGAAGGAATCAACTATACATCTGTTACACAGGAGTGATAAAAAGTTTCTTACCTCGGGCAGGAGGTTTTCCATGGTTTCTGTTGAACAGCTGCAGTTCTTCTGCTTGACTCACTAGTCAAATAAATAAATTTGAATTCAATAAAAGTTGCCCCAGAGATTTCAAAGAAAATAAAACCTATGCCTTCTTTTTCACTTTCAAAGTACTTGTATTTTTCTTCAAGCTATGACAAAAAAAAACCCCTTATCTATGTATTGTGCTCAAAAAAAACCCCAAACCATTTTCAAAATTAACAGAATTTTGAGAAGTTGGGCCTACAAGCCTCATATCCCATTTTGTTCCCATTTTTGCCTTCTAGTGCTGACATGGTGCTCTGTTCCTAATTCAGAGATACAGGGGGGAAAAGATAATTCTTTCCCATTTTGAAAGCAACAAGAAGCTAACGAAGAGTGGATGTCTGACATCTCATGTGGGCAGTCTTGCTGCCCTATCCACAGTGTAGGGTAGCAATGTAAACACGGGCTATTTTCTGAAAACTTCATTTTGTATAAGAAAGGATCTGGGTACATGCATTACAGTGGGAACTAGTACAGTGTATACATATGCAAAAAGAAAACTGAATGAGCTTTGGAATACAAGTCAGGAAAGAAATGGTAATTTAAACAACAGTAGTTGCTGGAACTGTGTGGTGCATAAATTCCTCTGCTGGGGCACATGCACCTAATGCTTGAGAAGAGTCACAGTGCTCTTTGATAAGAAAAAAATCTCTAGCAGAGGTGGCTTTACTGTCCACAGTCCCAGTCACCCTAGGTTTTGCTCTCCTGCAGCTAGTTCCAGTGTTTTTACACTCTGCAGGAAACAGAGCAAGCAGACAGGTTGTAGAATACAACCACAAAACACCACATTTACTGCAGGTTAAGAAACTGGTTTATCCTCTTCGAGTGCTTGTCCAGAGACTAGACACAGGGCCTGTGTGATGCATATTGTATTCATATTCCCTGGTAAACTGGGAACTAGATTATCAGAGGGTGGTATAAGAAGTCTCCAAGAACAATGTTATATATGCAAACCTTTGAGGAGAAGTAGTGGTAGGTAAATGCAACCTTAAGCCACACACCTGTACAGAGAAAAGGCACAGCTACCTTTCACCCCTTTATCTCTTAAAGAAATGCCCTAGTGAGGGAGATCTCTATTTCTTCTCCCTGAAAGCCAATAGGATTATTTTTCTGCTATTATCCATATTGCAGTTTTTTTGCATTAGATCATTTCCCCATCACATACTCCCCTTATAGTTGCAGAGGCAGCTGAGAAGTATGAATGCACTTTCCGCTGCACTTTTTGAGGATTTAGATATCCCAAGAACCTCTGACTTGGAGTAAGGATAAAAAGTTTCCTAAAAAATGGACACACATAAATGAAAATCTTTGGTTTTCTGTGTTCCTTTGGCAAAGTATTACAGATGTGCCATCTGTAAACTGCTCTTATCCCAACACAATAAGCATCTGGTATGTCCATCACTTAAAGACACATGAATAGCAATTTTTAAAGCCTGGAAACCTATATTCAGCCTAATCCTCCTAACAGGCAAACAAACAAAACAACTTCCTTGCAAAAAAAAAGAGAAGAAAAGCAATGCAATCAAAGTGCAAACGTTTAGCCTAATCACTAGCTAACTACCCACTAAGTATCTAACTATTTACATAAGAAAAGGTGTTGCTCTTGCGAGTTTTCCCTCCCCATCTGTGCCAGTGAGTTAGAAGAGCGGGCCACTGGGGTTGCCTTTCTTTATGTCCCCGGTTGGATGCACAAGGACATTTAAGGTGCATTTGTCCTGACCAAAAGAACTCACATGTCACAGTCCTGGGGTAAAACACTCCATTATACCACAGAGTGGGGTCGGATTCTAGGAAACGTTTGGAGTGATCATTGTTAAATTGTTATAAAGGAGATAAGATAAACATTATTGAAAATTCTCCTTACGTAGCACTTGGGTTTTCTGCATTTCAGCACTGAAAATGCAAAATGAGTCTGAGACACCAATAACATTTTCAAGCTCTCTACTGCCCTCTAAAGCCTGGAAAAAAAAAAGAAAGACATGGTTAAATCTCATTCACAAACTCTTTACTTAGACGTCTACAACTTATTAAAAACATCCGAAAGAAAGAACTTTTGGAAATTCTTCATAGGCTCTAGATGAGGCCTGAGACTCCACCTCACAGCAAGTCAACGAGACTAAAAAGTCTGAGGGTGTAAGAACACATGCTACTTTTGAAAACAGCATTCAGGTGCCTTGGAAAGTGTTACTTAAAAATCTCCTGTTATTTACGCTTCATTCGTAAGTCTTCAGCTGTTTAAACAGATTAACACTTGATCCCCAGAAAAGCAATCTTGGCACATGTACGAGCTTGCTCTAAGATGTTAGTAAAATGGAAATCTACAAGCATTTCAGATTCTACTGAACACACGCCTCAGTGTTTCCTGGTAGAACTAAAACTGCACACTATCAATCTCCAGAGAAACAGAAAGGATTTTTCAATAGTTTTCTAAATAAACATCTCAATTAAAATATTTTAAATTAGTATCAGTCTTTCTTGTAAATAGAACCTTGTCAGAGCACATATGCAAGTAAAATAAATCAATGCAATACTTTGAGGACATTGAATTATTTCTCAGATATTGATATACAGCAACAAACCTTGTGCTAAATTCATTCAGGAAACAAAATGTGAATAAACAGAGAAGTGATTTGCATTTTAGCATGTATTAAACAGACTATTAAATGATCATACATTAGTGGTAAATTAAACAGTACAATCGCTTCAACAGGAAGGGATATTTTAACTTCAAAGGCATAAAAATCTATGCAGTAATAATTCATACTTCAAATTATAAGTAATAGCTGATAACTACTTCATATGCTTTTATTTGCGTACAAAAGGAGGACTGATACAAATTAAAAATGGTGCACTTAGAAAAGCAACTCCTATTGTTTTTTTTAAAAAAAATCTACCAAGTTCTGGGTTTGGCTTTTTTTTTTTTTTTTTTTTCAATTTTCTGGATTTCCAAGTCACATCTGCCTGGTTTCAAGTATTTTATTTGCTTCCCTATTCCTTAAAACTCAAATGTTGCATATAAAATGTTAATTTTTATTTCAAATCCTATATTAAAAGTAGATTAAAAAAATACATCAGTATAAACCAGACCTGTAGGCTTGTCAGACTTGCTCTTATTTTCTGAATTCTCACCAATGAACTTTTCACTTTGGACTGCAATTCCATGAACCTGCAGGAAAAGTTAAAATAAACCAGTTTCAATTAGTCACATCACCACCTGCTGAAAATCAATGTTTACAATCTTTCCTGAAGGTTCTTCACATTGTAATCAGGATGGATCTGGGTAAGCTGTGAACAGACCTGACTGTGTCACATAACACCAAAAATAACTTGCTTTTGGTTAGGATTTATATGCAACTGCCAAAATTACATATATATATCCTGATTTTAAGGATAGGAAGGCAGGTTTAACAATTTTAGTGAATTTTCTTATGATTATGCAAGAAGACAAAAGTAAAAACAGGAATTTAACTCATTTGTTCCTAAGAAGAGGAATTTAATCAAGAGGACGAGCTCCCCAAACCCACACACTGCTTGTAGGACGTTGCTCGTAGCCATAGGGAACACACAAAGTTAAAACTGAGCCCAACAGGGACAACATCACACAATGTTACTTGTTTAACTTCCCTTTTAAGACACGAATATATTCTCCTACCAGTGTAAAGATGGTCAATTTTCAGAGTTTAATGGGTTTTGCAATGGAAATTAAAATAATATACAATCAGATTAGATCTAAATGGTACACGTTAATGCATGATTAAGGTTTTGCACTGAATATGTGTTGAAAAAAACCATCCTGCAATTCATGTTTAGGCTATTATTTTCTCTTTGAACCATTTAAACGTGCAAATCAAATGGAGGCAACAGAGAAATAATCTATTTACTCTTTCCTCCCACAGAAGGGAAAAGCAGGCTTATAAGAAACCTTAAATTTAGAAACAGAACTACAATATGAGAAAAACTTATCACTGTTGTATTTCAATGTGGGAACAGAAGGCAACTCAGAAGAGAAAATGCTAATTTCAGTGTATTGTACAATATATTTTCCACCTGTAAAAAGAAAGTGTATGGAAGTTCACAGAAATATTACTGTGTAGGTGTTAGTTTATAAATGTGTTTTACTGACTGCTAGTCTTCTGCAAATCTTGCAAAAATCTTGCAGTTTTTTAAAAAAACATACTGAATTATTGATGCAAACATTTACATGTCAATGAAGACTATGATTACTCAAATTGTTCTGCAATTCAAGGTTACTGTGACTAAGAAATGAGTCTGTATGTGTTGACCATGGGATTTACTGAACCACAACCCCCCTAATTAATCAGTTTACAGCTTTCCACTGGCATAACTGTAAGATTTCATTTTATACTGTCTAACATGCCATCCAAACAATTCTACTATCTGTCAAGCTCCATCATTTAGAAGACACTCACAGTCCTACAAGAAAGAAATTTCAAACTAATGGTGAGGGAAAGCATCCATTACAAGAAAAAAACCAACAAAACAAACCACAAACACATTGAGAGTTCAAGTGCAATAACCAAAAGGAAGTGCTATAACTTCAAACATCAGAAACATAATATTTAGTTGACTAAATGATACTAATTAAAAAAAAAGTTGGTAAAAAAAGAAATTAATGCATAAAATACCTGGCCCCAAGGGAATTTTCATCTGGTACAACTATGATAAAAACATTTAACACACACACAACAGAATACAGAGGCAGAATAACAGAATCAATGACTACTTCAGTATATGATGAAAGAATGGAGCTTTGCATTACACCAAGAGGTGAGATCTTGGTGACAAACTGGGGTAACAGAAAATGTGCATCAGATTTTGCAGAGTAAGTAAGCGTGCTGGACCTACAGACAGTGGAATTTACATAACAATTTGAATTGGATGCACAGGCACTGGGCATGAAATGAAATACAGAACAGTCACATTAGACAGAATGATAACAAAATAGACAATGCTGGAGAGGAGAGGAGAGGAGATGTGGTATAGCCATGTTGATGCTGAGCTGTGAATTAGACTTTCTCAGATAGATGTCAAAGATATACATCAAGATTCCACCAGAGGCCAAGTAGAAGCATCAACTAAACACAACAGGATAGTAAGATTCCAAGAACAAAAATGTAGACAGTGTTGGAGAAGAATGAGAATAATTCTTATTTTATTTTTTTCAAAATTTTGCTAATAAGAGATCACAAGAGTCTCTGGTGAATGCAATTTCAGTGGAGTAAAAAGGATGGAATGGATGGGGGGGCTGTCTAGGATAATACTGTACTAGCAGCAAGAAGTATGAACATGCTCACTGAGCCAAGAAACTTTCAGGTTTTTAGTTGGACTAAAGCTTAAACTCAAAGTAGTTTTTCCACAAGCATATACAACTTCTGTATTAAAAAAACTCCTTAACTTCCAGGATTTCTGAATTGTGTAACTTCCCATAAAGAGGAAAGGCATCTCTGACACAATCAAACTTACAGAGATTCACAGCTTTCCACTTTTTCACCAATTTGCTATCACAGATGAAACAAATATTTCTTTTGCCTAACTCTTAGGGATGGATGTGTTTGTTTTGGGTGAAATACATTTAGACACTTCTCAGGAATACTAACAACATGAAACACCAGCAGCCTTACTTCTGACACATATTATCACTTCTCCTTCCTCACATCTATCAAGTTTAGGAAAGTAGTTTATCAGATACTTCACCTGAAACATGCAAGTGCTTTACTAACTGTGGACTGCCCAAAGTCCATTAATGTCATGAAGCTTATAGCTTAAAATAAGATTGTAGCAGAAAAGACAAGAATTTTAGAAGATTTTGCAAAGCAAACATGAAGTTTCACCACGATCATCTGTGGATAGTTTTTAATCAAGAAGTGTCTTGCATTACTGGCCCTGTACCTTTGGCAGTTAATGCTTTGAGATAAAGAATGTACGCTTTCAGAAGAGTCTGGAAAGGCAAAACACACCTTCCTTTTGATAGTTTAATTACAGTACCTCAGTGTGTAATAGTATGAGTGTGACTCCTGTAACTGGCAGTGTCATATGCCCCACACTACCACTGAAAGAGAGAACTGGCTGGATAGTTGTATTGCAAATCCTGCATTTATCTGTACCTATAACTCTAATCTTGCCATTCAGTACCTTTGAATATCCAATCCTGTGGAATTAGAAGTATTCAAAAATAATAGCTATTAATTTAATTCTGTATGAAATATTAATCTTCCATAAGTAAAAATCACAGCACTGCACCCACAACGCACTGAATACACTTACACATCCTCCTCTGTTTGAGGCTGCCCTCTCCTGGATAATCTGCTTTCGGAATCATTCCGCTCAGCTCCATCTCCTGGGAGGTTCACAAGAAAGAAAAGAAACAATAAAGATGAAAATGAGATATCGAGTATCTGAAGCACCTGAAAAAGGTGTTAGTGTGAACTCTGACTGTTCAATGATCTTTTGAGAAAAAAACCAACGAACCCACAAAAAAAACCCCACCTCATTTATGAAGCAGGACAGCTTCCCTCGTAATGAAACACACTAAGTTCACTATAATTTACTCTGTCATAATTTAACCTCTCATCAATTCACATTACATTTCTATTTGTGGAATTATAATCTTGGGATTATAGTATTAATAACTGGAAATTAGTGACATTCTGACACATAGTTACAGTGTTCTACTCAGAAGCTTTTAATCCTCTTAACTGCCTAAATACAGCATATTAGCACCAAGCATTATCATGAAAATAATAAAACCTCCATTTTCCTTTAATAAAAAGTGCCTGGCCCCCAACTCCACCTTGTAAACAACTACAAAGAGATATTGCAAATTACTTCCACAGGCTCTGACATGCTATACTGACAATATAATACTCTAGCTCATCGTATGGTGGGCCATGATAAATCATATGCCAGTTGCCATTATTCTGCGCGGCGAATTGTATTTCTACATTTCAGTGCACTGATATTTTGAGCAAATGCATGTTTCTGGGGGGGGGGAAACAGGAATAAGATATTGCCACAAAAGTTTTATTTATTAGTAAAACCTAAGCTCACATGTGGTGTTGGTAAACTGGTGACCGCCCTTCTGTCATTATAGGTTGGGTGTTCTTAAATGACCAGGGTGTTCTTAAAGGACAACCTGAAACCTGTGGTGTCAGAGGAAGTCTTACATACCACCATCTTGTAGCTATATGAACAAAGGAAAAAAAAAATGATGGCTAGGACTACATTACTGAATAATTATCCATCTAAATGTCAGCCATGATCATGTGATCAGTCTTTTTATAGGCAAAAAGAATGTTCCCCTATGTCCATACTTAATATCAGTATGGAAATACAGGATGTGTTCACCTTCCCCATTGACAACCCACTATACAGGCATTTTAATACGTTTTCCCCTCCTTTTTTCTTCCCTCTAAGACATAAGGCATGTAATGCAAATACTGAGGCTGAAAAAGTTTTAAAACTTGTAGATTTAAACATCTGTGTATTATGATGTGTTCTGTCACCAAAAAGGCACTGAATAAAACTAAAGGGAAGAGGTCACTACAGCAGGTAATTACAAACAAGTGGGGATATTGAAGAGAACATATCTAAAGAGCCATAGCATTGTTAATTTTGTATCTGACTGCTATCATTCTATAAAATTTTAAAAGTTTTTTGCAAAAAAAGGTAAGTGTTCAAGTGCAGGTGGATACCCAGCCCAATTCAAATGCATTGCACTGACAGAGAAGAGCAGCTGTTCTGGGGAGAACTGGAATCAGCAGAGAATTGGGGAAGAAAGTTGTGAATCTTCTGACTGGCATCCAGTGCTCATTAAAAACCTGGTGGTGTTAAACCTGTTTGACAAACAGGTAATGAGGACACAAAGCCAGGTCATAATGAAGACTGGCAGCAGGATAAAGAATTAGGATATAGCTGCTCCTGTTTAGTTTCCTAGCATGACTACTGATTAGAAAATAAACCCCCAAAACCAAACCCCCTGCACACAGGCCTGCACCAGTGCGTGGCAACACCAACATCGAAACACCCGATACTTCCACGCTTCCTCCAGTCCTCTGCTATTTTTAATAAAGAAAAGGGATGTAATGCTCACAGATTGTAGTATTTCAGCTTGAAAGATTTCACTAATTTTAATTTTTAGTTCAATCAGTTTTGAGAGAATCTCAAAATTTCACGATCACATTTGTTTAAAACAACAACAACCAAAAAAAAAAATCCCTTTTTTCCTGGAGGAAAAATCCACTTTTGCAGATTCATCATGAGAGCATATGGTGCAATAGCTAGTGCAAAAAACCTGCAGACATCTAGATAAATTTCCAACAGTTCTATCCTGCTCAGAATACTTCTACTCATCATAATTCATGAATGTTAGTGAGGCCTCAATTACTGCACATAAATTCCAAAATATATGGGGCATAAAAAGCTCCTTAACCCAACAAAAAGGCATAACAAGAACTGATGGCTGAAAATTAAAGCCAGACAAATTCAAAATCACACAGGAGATTTATTTTTTTTTAAAACAGCAAAAATAATTGAACAAGGAACTTGCTAATAAGGTAAGTGATGAACTATTATTATTATAATAATATAAATAACTGGAAGTCTTCAAGACTTAACCATATTTCTAGGAGTTGTACTGCAAGGAAATAAAAGCTCTTGGACTCTATATGGGAAAGATGACAAGAAACTCTCTTTGTATTTTTTTTTTTTATATATAAAAAAGTCACACCAGGTGATCTAATGGTTCCTTAGCACTCTGAAAGAAAACTATATAGCAAATAAAAGCAGAATACAGTCTGCTTCAGTCTACAGAAAATGTACTTCTTAAGCAGTCATAGTTTGTCTGCATCAAAAGCTGTGACTGTGTGACTAAGTGGACATATATCCTAACATGAACTGGAAAGAAGATAATTATGAAAAGGCATATTTTCTGAGAGCAAATGTCATTCAGTGCTGTGCTAGAATTAATAAAAATTGCCTTGAAGTGCCTTACTATGAAAAACAAAGAGTAAAAAATTACATAAAAGACTGCTAAGTAGAAGAGTTAAACAAACTCAACTTCCCTTTTAGCTTTGATTTGATAAAATCTACCTAAATTTCAATATTCATAGAGAAAGAGTCGGAGCTAAGAAATGCTCTACGTGTGCATGCACACATACATGCAAGTATTTACCACCAGAAACCTGGAAGTTATAAACCAGGACTTGCACTGCAAATCTCAGCATAGCTCTCAAAAGGCCTCAAAATTGAAACATGCATCAAATGCACACTTCTTTTCTGGAATTCCAGCTCTCCTGACCACGAGAGAGTCCAGACTTCAGCTGTGTATTATAAACAAGGGGTTGCATTGCCTCGTAAGAGTAAATTGGGTCTTCCTTTCAATAATCTGAAGCTGGACACAACAACCTCAGAACATCTCCCCCTGTAACTCAAAGAACAAAGTCACTATCAGTAGCACGTACCAGTTCTGCCAGTGAAAGCTGGGATTTAGAAAGAAAGCAAACAAAGGATATTACTGGCATAAGCAGGCCTAACCAGTGGAATTAATGGAATTATGGACACTGGACACAACAACCTCAGAACATCTCCCCCTATAAAACACCAATGCAGGTTTTTTCTGCTGAGTCAAAGTTAAACATTTTTAATATTAATCAACAGAAAGCAAATCTTGTTTCATGAACAAGTTGTTTCACAAACGCCCCCAAGATTTATACTGAAAAGATTCAAGTTTTAAAAATCAACATTAGCTTTTCCAGCAGAGATTAAAATTCTTTCTGAGGAAAAAGAAATCAAACTTACCACATGAGATATAAGTTACTAAATCAAGCCAGTAACCAGAAAAATGTTGCAGTAAGAAAGACAGAATGTTCAACTAACCATTTGATGGGCGATTTCTGAGATTGTGTGCATTATGACTCGTGGGAGATGAAAATGGACTCATCTGGCGTGTTCCTGTTGTCGGTGAGTAAGAGTTCAGATTTTTCCTCTTGGTCTTCACAGGTGTTGCATCAGATGGCTAAAACAGAGCAAAAGACACAAGAATCCAGATGAATATTGGCTAAAGATAAAGTACCATCTATGTCCACCTTAACCTACAACAGTTGTAAACTTCCTTTCTACAAATTAAATACATTCTGCCCTCTGCTTTTTCTATCAGTAGAGTTACATATTGCACCCCAAACCAGATAAAGCCTCTCTGAACATTTACTATCTGGCAATAATAATTTAAAAAAAAAAAAAAAAAGAAAAAAAAGCAGACAACCTGATATTTGCACTTTGGTAAATCACATTTCCACTGCAATTTCAAATTAACTCATTTATTCCCTTTCCATATTTTCCATACGTTGTCCTGTTTTAATGGAATAAGACCCTCATTCTACTCCTTTGTAAACCAGATTAAATAAAGGCACACAAATCTTCAATTGCAGTAAGGATTTCTTAGCACATGGATCTCCTGGTGGCTCTGGGAAAAAGGCTACTGGGGACTTGGTTAAGAGCAAAGTCAGTCTGAGTCTGGAGCATGGTACAGGATGGAAAGGTAACTCTGGGAAGACCTGAACTTCAGAGGATTAAGGTTTCACAAGCATCCCCTGGAAAATCTAACTACAGCCATTTTTTATTTCAAAAGAGGCATGCAGATAGCAAAAGCAGTATTTTTAAGGCAAATAATCAGGTAACATGTGAAAGTCAGAATTCACATCAGGATGTAAGTCAGATCACAAAGGTGACTTAAAGCCTCTACAATTCAGGAGGAATCCAGAACCTGGGAAAAGGCTCCATTTCATTACTAAGTAAATTAATGATAGAAAACATTAACGTTTACTTAATTAATCTTAAATTGTTGAGGTGTTATAAGGAAAGTGCTTCTAAAAAGTAGGCATTTACAGAGGCAATAAATACAAAACTAGGAGTACAAGTATAACGGACAACTAGGTAACCCTCAGAAGTTTTCTTCTCAATTCCAGACAGTTAGCAGTTGATTTAAATGCCCTGAAGCACAGTATTCCTATTTTTCACACCTACATACTCTTGTTATCTGTATGAATGTTTTTATAACAGCTTCTACTACATTCTTGACTTCACCAACATTTCAGGATGAGTTCTAGAAGTTAACTTGCCATATAAAAGATAAGTCTCCATTATTTGCTTTCAGTTTCCCACACTGCAATATTATTAAATTCCTCTTGATTATATAAAAATATCAAGAATGTCCAATATCCCCTCTAAAAAGAATACAGCATATTCTTATAACCTTTTCCTGCTCTTCACTACTGAACTCCTATTAAAACATCCTAGTCTTTTAATTCATTTGAAGGCATTTCTTGTACCTGAACCTATGATCACACTCATTTTCCTTCACAGAATGATATAGGTTCAAGGTATAATTTCTGCAATTATACTTTAAACCAGAGTGACAGTACATTCAGTTCTAATTCAGGTGAAGACAAAATACTGATTTATGCAATGGCATTATACTCCAGTCTTGCTTGCTGTTCTATTTCTGATACTTTTCACTCCACTTTCACACAAAGCTGCAGTTTTGATGTTTTTCTTCTCCTACTCTGCCTTGAGTGGTTACCCTTAATTTAGAACCCAACAGTGTTAGTAGTGGTCATTAGTAATATGACTTACACCCTATTTCAAACGATTTAATTTGCTGCCCACTTACCTCGCTTTCTTATAGTTCCTGGATATTACTCTTGTCTTGTTTTAGTCTTGAATACCCCAAATAATTTCATATCAGCTGTTTACACTCTTCTTGCAGTCTATCAGTATTTAACCAACACCTTCAGTCTGTTGTCACTAATATTCTGCCACACTCAAGCAGATTAAAGAAATGTTTCAAATCATCTTTAAATGAAATGTTAATTATAGTAATCAATGCTACTTTAGGCACTTAAATATCATCAAATCTCTTTTGTAACAGAGAGAATCTCCAATCTGCTTACACTTTCAAGATATTTTTCCTGCTTGAACAGCAGCCACCTCAGCCAGCATATTTCTGGACATGAACTAAGATTCCTTTGAGCAGCTACTTGGAAAAAGTTACTGTAGTACTTGAAGGACAGTGTTTATTTGTCAGCAAAAATTTATCTTCCAGGAAGAAGAATCTTAGCCTAGTTATGCAATTTTTTAATGACACCATTCTAACATTCCAAAATCTAAAAATACTAATTTCTTTACCTCACATTCCTTCCTACCTTCTATAATGTTATTTAATTATGGTGCACTTTAAATCTTTGACATATATCTGTTATATATCTGAACTAAAAATCATAGTTGAAACCTACACTACTGAATTCCAGTCTAAGTTTTTATCATTCAGATGGGCTTTTGTCAATCTTTTTTGCTGCACAAGAACCTGAATGAAGGTAACCATCCAGTAACACTTTATTTTTATCTTCTGAGGAGGGGGCAGGGAAGGAATAGCTTTAAGGCAGAAAAAGAGTTCTACGTAATTTCAGCTGGACCACTCATCTACAAAAACGTTACTACAGCCCAAGAAACAGATGCAAAATTACAGTCACAGCTGCATTCTGAGCAGAACAAGTTGGGTAATGGTACACTAAGCTGCTAATTAAATTGCTAATGATTTTTTTTAGTGCCACTGCGGTATTTTGCCACCTTTGTTTAAATTAAAGAAAATAAAAAGTATCTAGAAAATTTTTAAAATCACAAATAGTGATTTTTAAAATCACAAATCTCTATCTTGCTAAATACCCGTGAGACCTCTAAATTATGTCCTGCATACAAACAAATCTTTTCAAAATGACACAGATATGGAGATTTATTGGGAGCTCATTTGCTGACCAGCTATTTCTGTTTATATACTTTTCCAAAATTTTCCTTCCTTTAAACGCCGCCATCCTCACAAACTCCTCTGTACTGATGTCTGCAGCAATACTCACTCTTGGTAGGAGCAGATAATAAATCGACATATGTCATGACATGCTGGTGCTAGGAGTATACTATAGTTGCATTTACAAAAAATAAGAGCAACAGTACAATTTTATTTTTATTGTGATAAGCGTGGTGAAATTTATTGCAGTGTCAGTACTTTATTGTTTCATTATGCCAGATTAGCTGAGGGAGGTTAATTATATCCTTGATGTGAAAATGCCTTTAATATTTTCATTTCAATTTTGCAGTTTACAATATGCAGATTACAGCATTATCATAATTCCATATTGTTACATGTACAATTACAGGGCAGAACATTTGCTTCCAGGATAACGGAGCTAATTTCTAATAAATTATTTCACCAAGGATCTTAACTCATTCAGCTCTTGGGTAAATAGCAATGGCAATAAAAATATGCATATATTTCTCCATTATTTTCAAGTGATTCATGCCGATGCACATTACTCAAATCCCAGCAGTTCTATGACAAATGGAATACAATAAATTTATACTAATATTTTCAGCACAATAATTTTGTGCCTTGTTAAGATTTTTCTAGACAACATCCAATCTGTAACAAAATTAATGCAGCTCTAATGAAACATCACGTTTATATAAACCTATGTGTGCATGTAGAGGTATATACACTCATATATTATGTGTGCATATACATTATGTGTGTATATATGGACAGCCTAGATCATTCCATACACCAAAAAATACTTACATTATCTTTTTTAACAGTGTCCAACTTTAATGCTCTCTTAACTCTGCAAGAGAAAAATATGGACAAGTTTTACTGTCATCTACACACAAAGATTTCTGATAGTAAAGTCTATAATTGGTAATTTTAAAGATATTTTTCTTTCCTTGTATAGTATAAAAAAATGTGAAACACTTTTTTTATACTACATGAGAAAACTAAATGTCATCCAAAGCAAATACATTAACTGATTAAAAAACTGTGTACCAAAACCATTGCTTGTTTAGAAGGATAAAGTGTTTGCATAAGAAAATCCAATTCTCCATTTTATACCAGAGATAAAAATCGAGACACTGAAGTGAAATCACGCTGTATATAGACTATAAACAATGAAAAAAGCAAAAGCAAAAGCATTATAATTTACATACCTTCTGAGCAAGGGTGGAAATTATTTTGCCATTAGTAGAAATAATATATTAGGTATTTAAAACACAGGTACAGGCAAGGTGAAAAAAGTAGTTCTTCTCATCATTTTTAGCTCTTAACATGATTCAGTGCTACCAGACTATGACTTAACTGGGGAACAGATGCTCTATGTCTTTACAGGTCCCCAAACCATAAGAAACTATTTGCCAGTCTTCTTCTTCTTCACTAAACTGATTCAGGAACATGCCAAGCTCTCTCTGCAAAATCTGCTCCGCTGAACTGGATGCCCAGCTGTTAATGGCAACGCTAGAAGAGGAAAGCTGAATATTTATAATACTTTATATCGTACAGCTGTCTTCTAAAGAGCAGTCATCAAAATTTTATTGAATGCAGGCTAAATGCTCAAAGGAAAGAAAGGTCAACATAAATTAAGACTATTTTTCCCAGAGACAACCGAAACTTTTTAAGCACATTCTTAAATCTTAACAATAGTTTGAAGCATTATATAAAAAAATGAGAAAAAAATTTAAATCTTCATAAGAATAGTCCCCAAGAAACATATTATATAAAATTAAACAAGTTTTAGAAAATACACCAAATTTCAGGAACTTAGTTCACAGTTTTCCTCTTGGAAAAGAATGTTTTGACTTGTAAGGAATTAAGATGACCTCATTCCAAACATATCCTTTTAAAATTTATGTCACTATTCCAAAACTGTAAATTAAAGTATTGGAAAAATAGAATAAAAATCCATCTTTGAAATACAACCTGGGCAAATCTTATATGAATACTGTTTTTACAACTATTTCTATTACAAAAAGGGGAAGAGAAGTATTCTACCTTAATAAAGCCAAGTAAACAGGTAACATTTAAATTAAAAAAGTGTATGAACAACTTGCCAAAGGGCAGACAAAGCTGTAACAGTTTGATGGAATTCTTTACAATGTATTTCTTTTTTAAATAGAAAGCCATATTGCTTCAGGAATGCAGACTCCATTACATTCTCCATCCCAGTGGCAGAAGAGAAATATTATATTTATTAATACATCCACTCTGAAAGGATGCTCAAGGGGCCAATGCATTTGCATGCTACACCAAGGCATGTTATGATGGAAGTTTTTATGATGGACTTCAAAAGAAGCTGGAAGCCAAAGTCAAGCAGAATCTGGACTCAACATAGCTGTAGGATGCAAGTAAATGAGAAACTACATGAAAATCCCACTGAATTCTAAACATTTAGAAAATTTCTTTGTGAGAAAGTTGTGTACTGGTCAGGACTATGTTCTTTAAAGGCTGTCAAATACTGTGTGCAGCAAGAGAGTTGCAGACAGCCCAGATTTCTCTCTGCTGGCCTGCAAAACCCCTGTGAACGCCCTGAGCTACGGCGGTGAAGAGGCAGCTTCATTCCAGGCAAGCACATCGATGCTGGAAGGAGCTGCATGGACCCAATTTTGGCTTCAGGAGGTCAACTTTCCCTCGCTTTTTCCAATCCATCTTACCTAGCAGCCTGGTTTGCTTGTGGGCTTGTTTTCAGTGATTGTCCTTCTGATGCCATAAAATGAGAAGGTGATTCTGGCAACTGATTCACTCAAAATAAGTTAAAATTTGTGCTCTTAGTCTACACGCAGTCCCTGGCTAGGACCACTGAAACAAAATTCAACCAGACATCTAACATGAGGAGTCAGCTGGCCAAAGTGTCTTCTCTCAGATCTTTCAAAAAATGCACATGAAGAAAAACTAATACGTGTATCTACGTGCAAATACAACCAGACATCTAACATGAGGAGTCAGCTGGGCAAAGTGTCTTCTCTCCGATCTTTCAAAAAATGCACATGAATAAAAACTAATATGTGTATTTACATGCAAATGAAATTCCTAAAGTATTTTAGGAAACTCAATGGAGGAAGAGCACCAGCTTTAGTTTGGTTTATCTTTTTTATATGGCTGGAAGAGCCTTGCTGTGGCTACGGAGGAGAATCAAATGTGAACAGAAAAGGAGATAGAAAGAAGAGGCACAAGCGATGACAGAACACAACAACTTGTCCTCTTGTCCTGTCCCTTGGGCCTTGGTTGAACAGACCCACCCCCACCTCTCTCCACCCTCCTCCAAGGGACTTGCACAGAG